CATAGAATTATTTCATAAATAGAAATGGTTGATGTAAAAGCTTATTTGCATTTTTTCACGTCTAGGGTTTATTTGTGCTCTAGTAATTCAATTAACATTCTGTGAGTGTATTAAAAGAAAAACCAGAGACTGGATATCTGCCAGGCTTGATGTTCTAACACAACAGAACAGAACAGAACAGAACATGTTATATAACATATGTCATGTCATGTTATGTTATGTTATATAACATATATAGAGAATACTTCATGGAAAGTGCTGGCGTACGGTATTTACGCACGAGTTGTTGACGTATCAGAAATCGAACGAGTGAGCGCAGCGAACGAGTAAGATTTCTGATACAAAAACAACGAGTGCGTAAATACCGTACAAAGCACTTTCCATGTGGTATTGTGTTTATTATATACATACTGAGACATTCATCATTTTGGCGGCCTTTTTATTTTAAATCTTTCAAAAATGCTAAAATTTGCCGCTACACACTTACCGCAAAATGACAACGAAAACGAAGTACCAGCTTTTTAGTAAAAACGTTTGTTAAAAACATAAAGGACGGTAAGGATACGAGGTAATCCAAGAACTATAAGTTATCTTAACTGTTTGTTCTCAATACACAATTGAAAATGAGTGAATTTAAGGAAAATGGCCGGTTTGAATATTATAAGCTTAAGCTAAAATGAAAGGCAAAGTCGCTCCGACAAAAAGCACAACAAAAGCTTACGTCTCGTTCTGTTTTTCCCTTTCCGTTGTTGTTTCGCCGGCTCTCTACCGTTTTTTTCATCGACAGTGAAACAAACGAAACTATTCCACTCCATTTCCGAAATGTTTTTCACTTTTTTAGCGAGAAAAACTCTTTGAGTAAAACTTTTCTCGTTGAATGTGTGCGAAGCGGCGCTGCAAGCTGCAATTAAAGGCGGGAATTTTGGCGCGAAACTCACACACCTCTGTGGCTTCTGATTGGACGTATCATTTTTCTCACACGTGAAAAAACATCGTTCGCGATTCTGATTGGACGTATCATTTTTTTCACGTGTGAAAACCATCGTTCGCTCCTCTGATTGGCTAGAACTAATTTGCGTACGACAATTTACGACATAGCTTTTAGGTGAGTATTTCTCAGTATGTATATAATAAGTCATGTTATGTTATATAACGCGTGTCATGTTGTTATATAACATATGCTATTTTGTTATGTTATATAACAACATGACACACGTTACATAACATATGTCATGTCATGTTATATAACATATGTTATGTGATATCACATATGTCATGTTTGTTATATAACAGGTGTCATGTTATGCTATATAATAAATACCATGTCATGTTATATAACATATGTTATGTTATGTTATATAACATATGTAAGGTCATGTTATATAACAAAAGTTGTGTGACATAACATTTCATGTCATGTTATCTTATATAACAGGTGTCATGTTATGTTATATAACATATACCATGTCATGTTGTGTAACATATGTTATGTAATGTTATATAACATATGTCATGTCATGTTATGTTATATAACAGGTGTTATGTCATGTTGTGTAACATATGTCATGTTATGTTATATAACATGTGTCATGTTATGTTATATAACATATGTTATGTTATATTATATAACATATGTCATGTTATATAACATGTTTCATGTTATGTTATATAACATATGTCATGTCATGTTATGTTATACAACATGTGTCACGTTATGTTATATAAGATATGTTATGTTATATAACATATGTCTATGTTATGTTATATAACATATGTCATGTTATATAACAAATGTTATGTGATATAACATTTCATGTCATGTTATGTTATATAACAGGTGTCATGCTATGTTATATAACATATACCATGTCATGTTGTGTGACATATGTTATGTTATGTTATATAACATATATTATTTAACTTATGTTATATAACATATGTCATGTCATGTTATGTTATATAACATATACCATGTTATGTTATATAACATATGTTATGTTAGATAACATGTGTCATGTTATGTTATATAACATATGTTATGTTATACACATGTCATGTTATGTTATGTTATATACCATATGATATGTCCTGTTATGTTATACAACATATGTCACGTTATGTTATATAACATATGTCATGTCATGTTATATAACATATGTTATGTTATTTTATGCAATTGTGAAAATTACATTTTATTTGCTTTTGGTGAGAAAGGTAAAACTGCACTTATTTATTAAGCAGATCATAAACTTCTCGGTTGAATAAACCCTCTTTCTTTGAACCATGTGATAGATTCTATTTTTTGTGGCTGTGGAAACGTGTTGTATTTATTTATGCTCTCGCCCATGCAAAGAAGATTATCAGGTATCAAGAATAAGTCATAAAGGGTGTCAAGAGCATTTACCCAGCCCTCTTGCAAATTTTTCCAGTGTTTCAACATTGAAGATTTTTAGAGTCGTATGATCGAATGAACTTAATGCGAAAATAGCCAGGACACTAAGCGCAGTTTAGATTTTTGCATGACGTAAAAAAAACTGTCTCCTTAAACACCTACTTGCCTTTTGAAGGCAACCTCATGTGATAGACTTAATGTTTCAATTCAGATCGTTGAAATGTTTTCCACAGCAAAGAAAGTTTGCTAAAAACGCACAGCATATAAGAGCTGGGACAGCAGTGGAGTAAGGGGGCAGCGGCACGAGGGAAAGAGGGCGTTCCCCATCACATACTAAAGCTTGTTCAGTCATCCCCGTTAACTTTGTGACCATGAATTACTCTCAACAGCAATTTGTTCTAAGTTCCGGAAAAGTCATTCTCAGGCTATTCAAAGACATTCACAGGTCGATTTCTTGGAGTGCAAAGGAAAAGAAAAGGAAGGAAAAGACGAGGAAAAATAGCGAGAGCGAGGAAAATAATATAAGCTTTAAATGACGCATTGACACTTCACATTTGCACTGTTCAGCTGCTCTTGAATCATAGTTTATCAATTTCTGATATCTTCTCTTCAGAAGTAAAATATTTAAATTGAGACATTTTCAACAGCAGCGACAGTTTGGATAGGGACTCCCCCTAGTGCCTAGAGCACGCTAAGATGACCTCTGAGACTTCCTGCTTAATATTCTATAATTTAAAAAAAAGAGAAACAAAAAATATTCCCACGCGTTCCACAAACCCTACAAAAACATGGCCGACAGTAAATAAGCTCACGTTCACCGCCTTCTCTCTCTTCTTCGTTTGGTTAAAACCACAGCCACATGGAAAACAGTGATTGAAAGTATGCAGTCTTTAGGAATGGACAATTTTTGAGTGGCATATACCCGATTTCTCGCTCACGATGGCGAAACGCCTGCGAAATGGCAAAGTAAGGCAAATTTCGCCACTCACCCCTCGACCGAAACTGAATAGCCGCCAAAACTTTTAACACGATTCAGTAGCTGAAGAATTTAACTACACAATGATATGCAGGAGAGTCTGTAAGTGTGAGCCACTTTTGAGATTTAATCCACTGAATTTGGCTAAAATCGTAGCTTCGCTAAGTGGGTCAAAGGGGCTACGTGTGTTTCCTCAGATTTTCTAAACGAAAACGTGTTGATGATTCTGACCTGTATTATTTTAAAGATAAAGTCTCAATTAAATCAACTAGTAAATTGGAAGCTTTGGGTCGCACTCTTTTATCCGGAGCAATCGGTTGAATTTTGACAAAATTTGCATATTTCACAAGCATCTCAGGTCCTCGTGTGGCGCCGAAAGAAAATTCGTTAAAAAAAATTTACAGAAGCGAATTTCTCCAATCTAGTTCCATATTTGTTATATACTTATTAAAAGAAGTCTACCGAAAAATTATGAGCGAAATCCATTTTGTGGGCAAAACTCGATATGAGGATATTACAGAGACTGGCTCTTAATCACTTAACTGAGGCTAGCCAGTGACGTCAAATGCAAATATATGTCAAAAATCGAAAAAAACAAGCTTGGATACCATGCAAAAAGCTGAGAAAAATATGGACCTTGAAGTTATCAAGATCAGAGAAAATATCAATGTCACTAAAGGAAATAAGCGTTTCCGTGCCCTTGTTGAGCCAATCTTGGCATACAGATTTGTAACACGTAAACCTTGACAAAGAGCAAGGAGAAATTTTAGGATGGATGTTTTACGGAGACAACATATCACAAAGAAAGCACCTCATGGGGCCTCATATGGCGAATTATCAATTCCGTTAAATAACCGCAGGCCTTCATTGTGTGCAGGCGCAATCCAGAGGAAGAAGCATCCAAAGCTGTACTGTGGTAGACAGCAAAAAGGACTGCAAACCATCGATAAGCCACGTCACCTCTATTGACATCCCGAAGAAGAACACCTTTCTGGAATCAGTTTCAAAAATCAAAAGAGAGATGAGCAGCAAGACAACTAGGTGAAAACCTGTCAGCTAGGCTGAATTTCCAGCCGAGATAGAGATGGTAAAAAACGATAATAAAGAAACAAGGAATGCACGTCGATCTTTATTTTAATCACAAGCCGCGTTTTTAATTTTACTAATTATAGCACTAAAATGAGTTAGATTAGATTTTAAAGTGTCTCACAACCTGCTTGAACCACTACACACTGCTTTCAACTTTGATTGAAAAATGAAGTTGTCGCAACAAGTTAACTAGTGAAGCCTTTTGCAGACAAGACCAAGTGGCAATTTTGGATTCCAACAACTGAGATCATTCCAGTCGCCAGATGCCCTTGCCGATTCTGCTGAATATCCAACCCACATGTTGCCGCAAGGTTCTCTAGCCTTTCCATTCGGCTCATTTGGGGACCATTTGGTGAAGGTAGGAACTGAATGATCTTACCACACGAAGGCGTTAACAAGCGTGTCCCACTCGAGTCCGATCCAAACCTGCTTCAGCTAAAGGGCGAGCTTGTTCACGAGGTTTAATACAAGCTCGTTTTCTTCCTTGCTGTTGATTTTTACCAGATTTTCTACCAGTCCTTTGCAGTACGCCTTGGCCTGGTGCTAAGTCTTGATAACGGTACCGATATGATAGCAGTAGTCTTTAAATCGCACCCAGCCCTGTGGACAAGGAACGCCTGAAAAAGGTTAAAAGTGTTCTCAGATTGGAAAATAATAGGATATTAAATTTCAAATAAAGGATGAACTGAAAAAATTGGCCTTAATCCAACTACCTGTGCAGGGGGGAACCTATATAATGCCCTATACAGGGAGGCCCCGCAGAAGAAGAGGACACTTTTCCCCGGGGGTTACTCCTGGGAATTCTAGCCTGGTGGGGATATACCGCCCGGTTCCTCAAATCCTGACCCGATTTCAGACCAAAAAATGTAATTTTCCACACCCGTTTTCAGACCTGGCCTTTACGCAGAAATTATGTTATCATTACTTACCCGTTAGAGCTCAAACAAAAAAATGTTCAAATCCATTTCGAATTCGCATATTTCTCTTTGTTGCTTACTCATTTGGAGTTGAAACGATAAATACGTTCTTACACTCCGTAGTTCCCTCGAAAACCATACACGATTCCAGACCAAAATGGGCAAAGTGTATACCCGTTTTCAGACCAAAACGGCGCAAAAACCCTACCCTATGGGATAGGGAACTGCCGATCATTTCGGTTTTGGTTAGCCGCAAAGGGCTGAGAGTGGTCTTGTGATTTAGGGGTACCATTTGTCAAAAGAAGGTTTAAGAAGGTATACCATTTGTCAATAGAAGGTAAACGAAAGGGCTACTATTTCTGTCGATTTTTTTTTCGGTCGAAAATGTTATATAAAAGGGTTATTGCTTGGAACTCGCGGAGGAGCCTCCCCTCATAAAACTTTGTTGAGTACCCCACGGGGCCACACGTTCTTTATGACGGTCGGGCAAATAAACAAATATTCGCTGAATATATATATGAAGAAGATTACATCATTGAAATCTTCGGACAGTTTCTTGTTTGATGTACTTACCAAGTTTTTCTTTAATTTCGCAGAGATTCCAGTATTGCGGCGTCAAAGGCACTTTTCTTGGAACTGGACTGAACTATAAGAAAACCACATTTAGAAATGAAAAAATGAGACCGCCAATTTATATGAGGTTACTTGCGCCTCTAGTGATACCGAGTAGTTTACAACGCCAAGGAGTACATCGAGTATACATTGAGTACCATGACCACCAAAATGAGATTTTAAAAGTAGCTTTTTGCCAATTTTTTGCTTTTGATTTTGTCTCTTCGATTTTCTTGGGAAGATAACGGCTGAAGAACCAAAATAGAATTTAAAGGGACTTGTTCACGATAATGCGCATGTGTGAGTTCTGACAGTAGCTGATTGTTTTTCAACCAATCGGAAGCGAGTTAGATGCACGCAAGTAAATTTACAAAATTCAAATTAATTGTTCGCGACGCGAGAGTATTTCCGGGCATTTGGTTTGATTTTATTTACCCCCATAATTCAATTTTATTCTTTGCTACTCCTCAGATATATGTTGCAGCCGATAAGAATAAGATTTACAGCCCTGTCCTGCTTTGAAACAAACATTTACCAACGTGTATTTTTACGAGGTCGTACCCACGCTAACAAAACAGTCACCGATCGGCAAACAAAATTTGTAAACAAACATCTTATTACTGTTCTCTCAGTTCGCCTTATATAAACCCAGAAATACCTACAAATAGCGCCGGACCGGTGACAAAAACACACAACGTATGAGTATAAAGATTATCCTTAATTGAGCATAAATTTCAATTGCTTATCAGCAAATGAACAAATTCATTCGCGTTGCATCGGGTCAGTGTTCCGCAAAACAAATGTTATCGAGTAGCACACATAAAGAAACTAGATTATGAACAGAATATTCAGGCAATAATTTATTTTAAAAACATCAATTCTTAAACATATACGATCGTAAAGCAAAGATACAAGGAACATTTCAAGTGTACCAGATCGGTGAAGATCGCGCGGCCTGTTGCGGTATAACTACAGGTCGGAGTCAAAAATCAAATCAAAGTTGAACGAACTCATGCCTTTAACCACTTTCCAAGTGTCGTGTATTCTTTTCGTATGCCACACACTACTCCTAGAACCATACCAGATCGATAGGCTAAGCTTCTCTATCTCCAGAGACTCTTGAGAACGTCCTGTTGCCGGACGGCCACGATGCTCTTCTCAACCTCCATGATCAAAACATTATTTTTTGCGTCTTCTTAAAACGTAACCAGTCAAACGACACAACCACACGTTAATCACCACTACCGAAGTATAACTAGACTAGCCAAAGCGACGGATGTCCGAATAAAACGAAGGATTTTCAATGATTGTACCGGTAATGGCGATTTCGAATTTAGTGTTGACCCAACAAATTTATTCTGAAGAGACAAACGGAGCGCATGCGCATTATCGTGAACCAGTCCCTTTAAGAAAATCCAAATCTGAGGGTAAATTACTCAAAATTTCCGATGGGAAAATCAAACATTTTTACACCATTCTGGCGAAAAAACTAGAAAATATGGGCTGCCATTTTGGGCGATGCATTTGTACTTATTTCAGTCTCTCGATTAAGCTTATTTCGCTTTACAGGCTGTGGTAGGTCCTTCTACGAGGTCAAAGGAATATTTGAGCGTTTATCACCAGCGAAGGAAGTCCTCGATGTTCACTGAGGATTTACCAAAAGTGACCTTACTTTTAATCTCCCGTCCGAAATTTTGTAGGGAGTTTTGGCTTAATGGTAAGCACACCTGGGTATCAATTCTTGATGGAGATATTTACCAAGTTGTAGTAGCTACAAAGCCCAGCGACTGGGACAAGGGCAATGACTGACAAATATTACAGGTAAGAAATGAATAACAGGACAAGAGATCGATCAAAAAAAATGAGTAGCATTAAGAACAGAGTGTTCTATCTGATGATGAACCTTTGCTTGTGTTTACGTACCAAGTCAGTAATCATTCAATGCTTCTCAAGGCTGTCAACAAAGCGGTGTCGCTGACATTTCTTTTGGATTTTTGCCAGACTGAACTGTAAAAGAATTACGACCATGTTACCTTCAAAAAAAATATCGTCAAAAGTTCTTACGTATTCTTGCATTAGGAAGCTCATAACACCTTGATCGAGCCCTTAATTGGAGCCAGTAGCCTGAGATTACGCCCTCTCCTATTATCCTTCTCGACTCATCCGCTCTTTAAAAAAAACACCTGATCCCAGTTTTTAAGATCAGAAGCGACCACAGTAAGTACTTCTGCGTTCACAGGCTAGTACGATTGTAACAAAAAATTTCAGACATATTTGCTGTTTTCAGAATTGTCACTGAACCAACTACTTAAAATCTGGGACGAAAGCACACTTAATTGTCAGGTCACACAATCTTCGTGCGTAAGAGTCTCTTTACCGAATAGGCACCGCCATCTTTGCAGGTCCATCAGAAACTATTTAAGGGCTGAATCACAACTGACGTAGTTCATTGGGTTAATATTGCAAATAACGCGCCTTTGCTCGCCAAGGAACTTGACGTTAGAGGGATTTTACTTGTAAATGACTGGCAAATTGAAAATCACGGTTTTGTATCGAACAAACTTCTCCCACAGTATTATGTCAAACGTGTCAAACATCAAAATGAACTTTGGAAAAACTGTCAGGCTAACAACTTAAATAATTAAACTCGAACGTCTACTAACGCCCACCACTCCACAACGGCCACCTCACTACAGCGGCAACGGCCACTAAAGAATGTCCTCAACTGCCAAAATAAACTCTTATGACAACGGCCTTTTTCAGCTACTTACAGTGCTGCAGTAAACAAAAATTGTCTACGATACTTACAGCGAATGTTGATTCAAAACATTTTTGAAGTTTCCTTGTCTATTTTATCTAGGTATATTCTTTATTATTGGATTATTATTATTATTAAGGGAAAGAGTAAACATGAACGCAGCAAAAGAAACATGTTGTGCTTCCTAAAAATAGTTGTTGTATTACACCCCTACCTCCCATAACGGCCAACTTCTCACAACGGTCATTTCGTCTGTTCCCAAGGTGGCTGGTATGGAAAGGTTTGACCACAATAACTTAATGACAATTTAAAAACCGCAATTGCAATCCGTTTTAATCATTTTAATTTTTGTCCATCAGTGCCTTTTTTTTTGTATTTGCTATGTTATTTTTATTTTCCACTCAATTTGTTGGTAGCTCTCATTGTTTGCCTTTCAACCGGATACATCAACGCGACACAGCTGCCTAAAAGCATGATTCGCCCAGGAGGAGTAGTCCTTTCTTTATAAATAACGATGGTACCGCTTAGAGAATCAAGATCAAAAAGGCGAGAATGAATCAATATTTTGTCCTTCAAATGGTGAGTACCGGCTAATTTGGGACCTTTACTAAAATCACCAAAGTAACGAGATAACTGGCACGAGGAAAGGGGCAAAATGACCTAATAGGAACAAAACAGGCAATAGGTGATGAAGTTACTCATTAAACTGGGAAATAAGCTGGGTTTTTTTTTTTTTTTTCCTATATTTTTTTCATTTTCCCTTTTGACTGAGCTCGTTCCCGTTCCCCATTCCCCGATCCACGTCCTCCATTCCCACTCCCATTCCTCATTCTCATTTCTCATTCCACTCCTCGTTACCCGTTCCCAGCTCCCTGTTCCCCGTGCCCCGTTTCCGACCAATATAATCTTCTGTATGTGTATGGGGAATATTAAAAAGGGAAATTCAAAAAAGGTCCCCCTACACATGCTCAATTTGTCACCTAGTCCAACCAACCAAAACAACCAAAAATGGGAAAACAGAGAAGTCGGATTACTGTTTTTAATCATTTTCCAGCCTACATTACATCCACACATTTTATTGTTAAAAGTACTATCTTGATATTTAGCTTAAATGCCCTTTAGTTTTACATCAAGTTTGGTTATTGAATCATTCTACTTTCGACTTTTATGGTGGATGCAGCCTAGGGCAGCCTCTTGCAGACAAGACCACGGGGTAAACACGATTCAAGCAAGACATGTCATTCCAGTAACCAGTGTTTCCATGGCCCCAAGTTCCAGTCCACATATTGCTGCATGGCTCGGAAGCGTTTCGATTCGGTTCATTGTTGTCCCAGTTGGTGTATTTTGGACGCGCCTCGTCAGCCCAGATAAACTTGCTTATCAGCGCGTCCCACTTCAGTCCGATCAAACCTGTCTCGTCCTTGGGGCGTGTTTATAAACCAAGTTCAGAACAAACTCGTTTTCTTCATCGCTGTGGATCTTCACAAGATCCCCTTTGCTTTTTTGCAGTACGTTCGAGCATCTTGCCAACTTTTGACTGCGCTACTCACAAAGTAACAGTAGCTTTTGAAATGCGTCCAGCCACTGGGGCAGGGATCTATTCAACGACAGAAACAAAGAAATTGGTTATTACCTGTTACTCAAAATAGCAAAAATCGTTTATAATCTGAACATACAAAGATAACTTAGATACCGGAAAATGACAATTATCAGTCAGATGCCTGATTACCGTAAATCCTCTAATATGCCCCCCTCTCAAATAAGCCTCCTTCCTGTAATAAGCCCCTCCCCTCTTTTCAGGGAAGAAAGTTAATAAGTCCCCCCCCCCTCTATGAAGCCCCCTCCCCCGTTTATCATCTCCTCTAATTAATCAATCAATCAATCAACTTTATTTAAACACAGTAAATGGCTCAGCAAGCTGGTTTTCAGACATGCCGTGTGATAATTACACTTTTTATAAAATTAAGACTAGTAATCAACTAACAATACAATATAACAACAGTAAAAATGAGTATTAGAAATAACATAAAAACATAATAAAAGTTATATCCTAAGATATGGCGAGTTTAAAGCTAGTAAGATCCCAATCTCACGTGTTTCATTTGACAGTTGGTTCCAAGCCATTGCACCCGATAAGAAAAATGAACGCTTGAGAAAATTTGTTTTAGGTTGTGGTAGTTGGAGATCATAGTTAGAACCCCTCAAATTATAGTCATGAATTTCAGAGGTTCTATGAACCGCTCCCGAAGGTACGTCGGACAATCATTATTGAATATTTTAAACATCGTAACTAATAAAGTGTCTTTTCCTTCTTTCTTCTAAGTTTGACCACTCTAAAGAGTTTAGTACATCTGATGATCTGATAGAGTAATCAGCCTGAGGTAATAATCCGTGCTGCTCTATTTTGCAACTTTTGCAATTTGTCGGCACGTGTTTTGGAACGATCACCCCATACAACATCACAATAGTGAAAAGTAGGGCTGAACAAGTGAATAGTAATCACTGCACAAGTGAATAGTAATCTAGTTAACATCATTATTTCACGAGGGCGCGTTGGATATGAGCTGTGGGATAGCCAACGAGGCGCGTGCGGCGCCGAGGTGGCTATAATCATCATCTCATATCCAACCAGCCCGAGTGGAATAATTGTTTTATTAAAAACGCCCAAAAAATCTCGCTAGAACAAACCGGAAAAGACAAGGGACTTCCGCTATTCACATGTCACGCGTCGATCAAAACTGTCACCCGTGAACGGACTCGCCTGGACTGCATGAATGAAAAATCAAAACATTAATGAACATTAGTTTTTTAAAAACTGATCGGGATTCTAGGATTTTACACAGCAGAACAGCTAAAAAAACCTGGCAGATGATGTGAAGGAAATTAATTTTTAAGTGACAGCCGTCGAAATTACTGTGAATTTGGATTTTCGGTGCAGTTATAAAAGTAAGAACAACGGAGAAAAACTATTACCTCGGTCGCTTGTTAAGAAATTGTTTGAGGCCACAAGCTGGTTTTGCTGAACGAGAAAAGAAGCTATACTGCTGCCTCGATTGCTCTAGTGAATGGCTGCATAGCCTGTATTTGTAGCTGGTTACTTGTGATTTTTATTCTTGATGTCGGATAAACAAGCCACAGTTATCTATCGGCGAGTGACTCGATCGGCGAATGGCTTCGCGATCATGAAGAAACAAACCTTGTCTCTTTCGTAGCTGGTCAAGGTACTTTAGCTCAATGTGTTTTCATGTGTTTTTCGACAAACTTTCAAACAAGCTCTTGCGGCTTTTTTGTTTGTTTTGTCTTTTTTCTTTCGATGAAACTGCATTTCTAGCATTCTAAGAAATGAATTAAAACGATTTGCTTCGGGCGCCGTTCTATCCTTCGCGAAAAAAATCTCAGCTAGCTTCCAATTTTAACTGACGCGTACACCGACCATATGTGGAGAGCATGGCTAAGCCAATCAAAATGCTAGAACTGCATTATCCAATGATTCAGTTTTTAATAATTAATGATATACTGAATTAAGCACTCGCAATCACGACTGCTTTTTAGCTCGGAATTGATTCTGATCATCGGCTGCATGACCTAAAAACGTCTTGTGCTTGAGCTTTTCCGCTTTGTATGCTAGTTCTTTATGGATAACTCATACCATCGTCCTTTCTTAATTAAATACCCCCCCCCCCCCCAACCCCTGTCAAATAAACCCCCCTGTATAATTACCCTATATAATGGTTTAAACGGGGGGGGCTCCGCACAAAAAGGTTGCCTTTTTCAGGCCTCAATTAAATAAAAGGGTAGGGAAATCTGTCATCTCGGTTTGTAAAGAGACCCAAAAGGGCTAACAGATGAATTTTATAGCTGTGAAACCGAAAAAATGAGAAAACGTTCTGGTTTTGTGATTTAGACGTATTTTAAAGAAGATGCGTTTACAACCGTTAAAAGGGATGAAAAGTTCTAAAGTAGGTTTACATAAGAAGAAGTGCCTTTATTTACCATACATTCATTTGTACACACATAACCTCATTACATTACTACAAGGCTGGTAGCCTGTTCCAGGCGTTCAGATAGTAGAGAGCGGGAGAAAAATTCAAGAAGACAAAAAAACCGGGGGGAGACTAGAGGGGGAAAGGAGGAGAAAACTCGCTCTCGCCCACTTATACAACTTAACAACTTAACTCGTGTACAACTTAACTCGCTCCCCCACTTATCGCCGCGCTCTACTATCTGAACGCCTGGAACAGGCTACAAGGCAGAAGATCAAGCAAGCCCTGTAGAACTTTTAGACGATCTTCGCAGCACTTACCATTTATTCGAATTAGAATTATTAAGAACCAATTTTGGTCTGTTTAGTGTTTGATTTTACTCACCAAGTATTTCTTTGATATTTCGCAGAACTTTCAGCATTGGGGCGTCCAAGGTCCTTCTCCCGGAAATGGACTGAACTATAAGAAAACCACATTAAGAAATGAAAACACATGAAGGCCAACAATTCATATGAGGTTAGTTGCCCTTCTAGTGATATAGAGGAGTTCGCAATGCAAAGGAGTACACTGAGTAGCATAATCAACAAAATAAGATTTTAAGAGTAGCTTATTTTTGCCGTTTTTCTCGTCTATTTTATTGTCTTGCGGAGAGAATTTCAAAGGGCTGAAGAACCAAAATAAAAAAATCGAAATCTGAAAGTAACTGCCCGTATCATTCCGTGCCCGGTTCCAAGCACGGTTTTCTTGTCTAAGAACATGCAACTCGAGGTTAAAAAATACTATTGAGCCTTTACTACGAGATACAGTGATGATAACACAACAATATACACTTAATGTCAGATCCCGAGCGAAACAGATAGTTTTGTTTTCTCAGGACTCTCGGGAAAACAAAACTAACTGGTTTCCCGAGGGACGTGACATTAAGAGTTTTGTTCTATTTCTAGATTTGTACTTCAACAGCAACAAAAGAATAAGTCGAATAACCGGAGCGAACCAAAACAGTCGACTTGGTACCTATAACAACACAAATTTAATTCTTAAAACCACTGAATTAATGTTTTACAAAATACTTTCCTTATATTATCTGCATCGTTTTCTTCCACTAGCTGCTGTTTCTCTTCTGGGATGACTTTATAAATCGTTGCCTTTTAGCTTGAGGCTTCGTGTTTGTGTTCAAGTTGTTGTGTTCATTCACGAAAAAAAAAACTGGCAGTGTTTTTCCCGCTTTCTGTCACACTACTTTCCACCATGCTTTGATCACGTGCATGTATCCCGAGCAGGGTACATTGCTTAATGTATCACGATCGGGATACATTTGATTTTAGTCAACGCCACGTGACCAAGAATCAGCCAATGGCAGTCCCTGTTTAGTTGAGTGCAAGTCTAGGAATATAATAATGTTACCCGAAGCAATGCACAGGAATGGAAATTCTTGGTTTTCACATGACGTCACCAAAATTCGAACTAAGAAACTATCGCTTCTTCTGAGTTTCTACTTTCATGTCATATTAGAGCACCTTAAAACCTTAATACAAACAAATTTTCGGTTCAAAAGGGTTCTTTGTTTTACGATACAGGCTTTCGCGTGACGCGACATTTGGCTGGCGGCCGGGAAAGCTCTTAAGTGGGTTAAAAACATTACGCATTTTTGGAGATTTTGCTATCTAAACATTCCTTGTCTTAGAATAAATATTGCTTCAGTCTTTATGAGTTCCTCAAGCGAAGAATTCACGCATAAGTGGGAAAACTCAAAAACAGATGTTTCTGTTAGTTTCCGGCGGCCATATTTGTGCCCCTGAAAGGGACACAAACATGGCGTCTCCATACAAAGCTTTATAAATTTGGGTAAAATGTTGTTCCGAATTTCTCGCATATGAACTACTACTATTGCATAGACCTGATTCTTGGCAAGGCTTTTTGTATATTTATCTTCTTTCATTTCCCAGATTCTACACTTTCTGTATTAAAAGGTTCCCATTTTTATTTCTGCTTTCTCACGTGAGTGAAAACCGAGAATACAAAAACGGAACAAAATTTTAATCCTGGATTAACACTAATCAGCATTTCAGCGTAGTTCATACCCAAACACATGGCACAACAACCGGCGTAGTATTACCCTTCTTGGGTGATGCTACTGTGAGCAAATTCCTTCACGGATCCGAGGGCTAAGGGTACGAAAGGTCAGGGAAGACAAGTTTTGTATTTCAGTTTGAAAGGAAATTTGCTTTGTATTTTGAAGAGTCTTACGTGCTTCAGGTTAGTCAGTGAACTTTTCCGAGGCTATAAAGATGATTTTGTGCTATTCCAAGTTAAAGCCGATTCACAAGCCAACTTTTTTCCAAAGGAATCGGTGCAAACACTAATATAGTAAGATTATGATTAAAGCATATAAACTTAACACACACGGATAAAAGACGGGCCAAACAGATTGCTATCCTGTAAATCAGTCAAGCACGAAACCGAAACTAAAACCTAAACTTGCTACACTGAGTTTACTGATTACTTTTTGATTTCCTGTCGTTCTTAAAATGTTTTGGTTTTTGTTGGTTTTCAATGGATATTTTCTGGTAATCGATCCATTTAGAAAATAAGATAAACCTTTGGCAGAGACGAGGCCCTGGTTGATAAAGCAACTAGTGATTAAGATTAACGCGACTGTTTCCTTTTCTTTGGAGGATTTCTTCAACAGTATCCTCCAAGAAGGACTATCAAACCAGTACAGTGGGAGCACAAAGAAAGCACCAAAAAACGCCCTCGGATCACAGGGAACGGTTGCAAAAAAAGCCACTTGATCAAAAAGATGCCTTTTGCAACTGGGCCTCGATATCATCATAGACAAAGAGTCTCTAATCAAAAATAGAGCACCTAACCGCCAACGGCACACACGTCTACAAGATTTTGCAGAAAGGCAAACAAAGTACTTATGCCAAAGCACACAAGTTAGTAAGATAATGAGAAAGTGAGCTCTTGATCGAATAAATTAGAAAATTATTAGTTATTGTTTTGAATCCAGTAATCTATTGATTTTCCATACGCTATTACGGTCTTTTGAGCCACTCTCTGTTGACTATTCGCTTTCAAATAATTGTACCGCGAAAGTGAAAAAAGAGATCATGTGAACATGGCACAATTTGAAAGAATCTGCACACGGAACAAATCACGAACAAGTGTTAAGCAGATCATACCTTCACAAGTTAGTACCAGGATGGCAACAAATACAACAGTGATTCTTGCTATATTCATGACTGTAATGACCTCTGTAAAAGTCGGGCGTCTACACGGAAAATTGAACATTTTGGTCCTTCTTATAACGATTTTTCTCTTATTTCAAGGTCACGTGACAGGAAGTTCATTTAACTCTATTCTGAGCAGAATGTTCATGTTTCTTCATTTTACTTGAGGGGGTGAGAGTTTCCAATGCGGTTTTATGGAACGACCTATCTGCGGAAACCAAGCAAGCATGTCACTTGCTTTAAAAATCGTCTTATGACATTAACCGCATCACGATGTTTTAGACCTTTTAGTGTATTTGCGCTCTGCTCCCATATTTTCAATTCTATTTTATTGAGCCACAGATTGTCAGGGTTCTATCTAGGGTATAGACAACCTCGTTCTCAGGGTTCTCTCCTACCCGCCCTACGGAGCGGGTAGGAGAGAACCCTGGGTCCTGGGAACGAGGTTGGGGTATAGATGGTTTTCACAATGACGTCATCAAATTGTAAAGTCAAAATAGCGAGGTTTTACGTATTCTAATTTACACTAGGTTGAAGAAAAACAAAACATAAACCTTGGTACAAGTTTCCATTCCCGTAGCATGTTTCATTTCGGAAACTATACAGCAATTTGAACTTCCGAGTTTTCACAGTGCGTAACACCAAAATAGTAATACTATCTCGTTGAAAAAAAGTCACTCCTTTTGATTTTCAACAGTATAACCATTTCGAGTATTAGAAGATATTTTTATGCGCACGTATGCTCGTTTCCGAGTGAAAAGAAAGAGTGACTCCAGATGTTTTTGCTGATTTCCGGCGGATGACATTTCGCAAGTAAACTTGATTGTACAACAGGGTGGAACGTGTTCGCGAAGTCGACTAAATTGTAAACTTCTTTCATTGAAATGTTCCACAGTGAAAAGATGTCCTCAATAAATCTCTTCCAGACCAAAGGTTTAAAGGGGCTAGCCATTAGCAGTCGTTTTTCTAAGTCCCGGGTTCTAAGTCTGCCATAAAAATAACAGATAAAGCAACTGCTGTCTTATTTCCCACACAGGTATCCCAGGCTGACTGTTTGTGTCATGTACGGGTTTAAAAACACGAGTAAATATAGAGAACATATGGGGCGAAGTTTACATCTGGAAATTTGCTAGAAAATGGAAATAAAAATCGGTGAAACTTAACATGTGGCGAGTTGTTGTTTTCCTTAATATGTACCAGACTATTTTTCCCGAAAGTTGGTGTATATATTAAGGACAATAACAACTCGCCACATGGCAAGTTTCATCGATTTTCATTTCCATTTTCTAGTACATTTCCAGACCTATACTTCACCCCATATGTTCTCTGTATTTACTCGTGTCTTGAAACCCGTACATGACACAAACAGTGAGCCTGGGTTACCTGTGGTTCCCATAGCGACGCAGGGTGTTTGTGTGAAGTATCTTTCGTTGAACTTGAAAGACCGTAAATCGATTGTTGGAATTGGTAAGTTATGCTCATAGTGATCTTCGTAGTGACGCCAAATAACCTCAATCCCTTCGTTCTGTTTGAGGGATGTTTGTGTTAAGGGAACTAACATCCAGAGTGACTAAAACCACATGGTCGGGGATTTGCGTGTCTTCATCAATAAAGTTGATGAAATCGGGAGTGTCCTATATATGGTATAAATTTAAGACCTCTAGAAAGAAGTGTAACCTCATTGTAAGAGCGAACTTTATTGGAGAAATTTTTAAGATGTATATTTCTCGTTTTGTGCTCTTGTGTTGTACGTTAAAGAGGTTTTGAGGCTGTTGCGTCTATGATAGCGTTTCTTATTAATCCGACCCTTTTTAATTCATCGACTTTTTCTGAAAACCTTTGAGTCAAGAAAAGACACACCAGTATGATGTTCAACTTTTTTATTTAAATTGACTGTCAGTCAGTTCCTTGCCAATTACCGTAAATCCTCTAATACAGTATGCCTCCCTCTAACTAAGGCTCCTTCCTGTAATATGCCCTCTTTTCAGGGTAGGTAAGTTAATAAGCCCCCCTTTATGAAGTCCTCCCCCCCCGCCCCTAGTCCTCTAATTAGTTTTCACTAATTAATGACGTACTGAATTAATCACTCGCAACTTCAGGCGTTTTCTTCGGGGGCGCGAATGTTTCTTGGCGAAAGCGCATGTAAGCAGCTTTCGCCTCCCCAAAATACGCCTGCTCTGCAGGCTATAAAACTTCGAGTGGACTGATCAGTACGGGGTGTTTTTTAGTTCGAAATTGGCTGTCTAGAGACCGAGTACAAGCACGTTTTATCAAATCCAGACAGATATATAAACATGTCGTTGGCGACTAACATTACGGCCAGAAAATAACATACACCAGGAGCCATTTTTTTCTGAAATTTGCTTTTGTTAAGAAGCCGACCGTAACTCGGCATCCCTCCAAGAGCTCCAGTTGACAAGTGTACCTTTTTATCCTGCGCAAACCCCTGCAAAATATAACATTCTCGCGAAAAAGCGAAAGAACGCTTCTAAAGTTTAAAATTCCTTTTTCTATGAAACCCCTGCCACGCAGATCGTCCGACCAGCAGTAAGAAGGTTCATTTTTTCAGAATACGATGATGCTATGATGAAAAATGACTGCGGGGAATCGCTACATATGCGATGTTTCGTGTAGTACTACACGAGGAAGTTACGGGCGCGCTGCGCGTGCAAAAGGATACTTTGTTAAGTCACAGTCATCTTGTTTTTAACTGTAAGACGATTCGAGCTCTGTTGTTGCGCAAAATGTGGAAAAGCACATCTTCTTTCGTCGCAGTTTTTAGGCTGCTGTTTTTAATCGTTATTTGTGAAGGTAAGGCGTCTATTTGCAGCGGCAACTGTTTCTCTAGGAAATTTTCGTGGTTTGCATAGTAGCAAAATAGTTTGTTTGCCTTAAAATCAACCTTCCTTTCTTCGTGGTGCCGTGCTAAAGAAGACAGAATCATAAATCAAAACCGATTGAAAGTTTGTTCTTTGGCCAATCACTACGCACAAAATCGCCTAATGCAACAAAATACGTATACAATGTATGTAGTGGCCGGGGACACCAAGCGCTGGAACTGCGTTCGAACAAGTCACGAAGGTTTTTGTTTACTCCTGATTGGCTATAAACACGAACAAATTTGTTAGCCAGTCATACCCTAAACTGAGCACAAACGCAGGCTTTCAAGCTTACGCAGGGAAACGGAAATAAAGCTTTCTCTCACGTTTTAAACCTCTTTACAGAAACCTTACGTATTCAATGTTGGAAGTCAAACTCAGGTTTTAAAAAAAGTAATTAGAGCTTCATGCTTATGCTGTGCAAACTGTTATCGCTTCGTTGCAGTAACCCAACAAACTTTTCATTCATTGCAGGGGAGCTGCAGGTTTTGCCAGTAAAGAATCACGCATCTTTGTGTATAGGGGATTCCGTATCTCTTGAAGTGGAAATTACTGGCGCTCAAGGGCAACCAAATGTACAGTGGTCTCATGGACAAAGTCTTTTGGACGACAGCGAGCATTATTCTTCAAATTCCATTGGGACAGTTCTGGATATAAGCAATGCTTTGCCTCTGCATGCTGGGACATACTACGCTACGGTTACAGACGGAGTATCTTCTGAACACGCGATTTTTAACGTGGAAGTTCATGGTAATAAAAACAACTTCTCATCTTCCCTAAAAGTTTTTAAAACGTTTTGCTATGCCGTTACACCTAAAAAGCAAGCACAATTTTTTCTGTTTTTCGCCTTTTTGCTTCGTTAATTGAGTTCAACAAATATTTAATACCCAACATTTAAAATTCCGCCAGAAACATAAAGTTTCGTATAGGTCTACTATTAGTTAACTAAAGGAATTGTAATGATCAGAAAATTGTTTCATTCATAAGAATTGCATGGCAAAGCATTGCGAGCGCCTTTCTCTTTGAACAAAATAATAGAAATTTAAAGGAGAATATTTTGACGAGAATCAGATGTCCACAACGTTGATAGCCTGTACACAGACGTTTCTTTTCGACATTAAGCGAGCGTGGAGCACGAGAACGAACGTCTTTTTTTTTTATCTTCTTTCCCCACCCCCATCCCATTGAGCTTGAGGTCAATAAATCCCCCTCGGCTTAATATTCTTATGCTCGTTCGACGATCTCCTGAGAGAAAATTGAGGGTCTGTGAACAGGCTACAACGTTGAACTCCCATAATTAAACGCTTATAGATAACCTGAGAGTAAGCTCCTCATTCTCGCGTCAGTCCTTTCGTGTGTTGCTTACGCGTGACTTCATGAAAAGCTTGCTTACAGCCGGGCTAATTTACCGCGCAGACGATGGACGCGGTGAAATGATAAGCTCCCGTTAGGAGGCAATGAGTGGCCATTCTGTATCTTAGTCTTACTATCAAAATCTTCTTTTAGATACCTACCTTCGCACCTTGATCAAGAGTCCTTTAATAATTCAACTTGGTGGCACAGGCGTGTTAAAGGTCGAAAAATCCGATGGCGGAATTTTATGGTGGATACACCAGGGAGACATTGTAAGAGGACAGAACAGCCACTACAAGTTCTTGGACACCTTGGGATCAACTGGGACCGAGTTAGAAATTTCCAACGCCGGCGTAGAGCAAGCTGGATTTTATGAGGTGGTGTTGAAAGAAGCGGGTTGCGAAATACGCAACGTGTTTGATGTGCAGATAGAGGGTGAGTAGTATGAACCGGAAGGGGTATCTTGAATGGGGAGATCTGAGGGTGCAAGGTTCCTCCAAATAGCTTGTTATATATGGTGTAAATAACAATTAGCATTTTTGAACTATCTGGAAAACGTTGATGTGCCAGCTGGTATGAGACTCCAAATGAAAAAATTGTCTATTGTCTATTTTAGGCCAACCTGAAGCTGCGCCCTTCCTCCGCCTCTTAGGCCATGTTCACACTATATAGTCGTTCTTACACATGGAAGGTTGGACGGAATAGTCATCGATCAATTGCAATCCTGAATATTTACTTCCCTTCAAGGGGATTCCAGTTCTTCCCCCTACTTATTCAGGTTACCACCTTGTACTTTAGAATTTTAAGCTTTTATCGTTTTAGACTTGTAAGTAGTAAGTAGCTATATGATTTTAGCTGGTGTATATCCTATTAATTTTCTAATTCATTAGTTATCTTATTTAATTATTTAGACACGACCCCACAAGCGAAGCGTCGCTTTAAATACTTATCGTGTATAAATAAAGATTATTGATTGATTGATTCATTGGTTCTGCTGCGGTCCGATTACCTGGTCAAACTTCACCGAGGTACCACAAAGAACCTTTCCGATATGTGATGCTCCACTCGCGCCGAAATCAACGTTCCTATGTGTGAACAGACACGGTGGACAAACAGGACACCAAATGTGGCCACTTAGGAACTAATTTTGCAGTGTTTATCCGTTTGAGTTCAAAGTTTTGTAGGACGGTAGAACTTTGTATTCCAAACAGTCGTATGCTTTTTGTTTTTCGATTTTAACGGTTTTTGGAGGGAAAATGACATCAGAAGATTGACAGAAAAATTTAAATTTTAACTAATGGCCTAACAAATTGAGCGTTTTCACTCACGTGACCAGCATCTATGTAAATTTGTTGAAACAAAAGAAAGCGTTTACGTAAGAAAAGAGTTCAACTCCCACAGGATTTCTTTGATACACCAACATGGCCACCGTTTTATTGTTTTGGAACACAAATATGGCCGCCGTGACGTCATGTGAAAACACTCTATAGGTAATTTTGAAAGAGAGTGAAGAGATTGAAACAAAAGTGAAAAAATTTGTTGAAAAGGTCAGTTGGTTAAAGAATTATTTTAAGCATTGATTTTTGAAATTGCCGCCATTTTGTTACTATTTTTAGAAACAAAAGCACATTTCGAAATGCTATGTCTCCTAAAGCAATTGAGTTTTTCAAATTTTTGCATTTGTTTCTATCCCTACTTCAAAATTACCTATTTGTTGCGCCATCAGTTGAAATAAAATTTTGCTGTCAATCTTGTGACGTCATTTTCCCCGCCAAAAACCGTACGATTGTTTGGAATACAAAGTTCAAACATCCTGCAAACTTTGAACTCAAACAGATAAAAACTGAGAGTTAGCTCCTAAGTGGCCACATTTGGCGTCCTATTTGCCCACAGTTAGAAATTTTCGTGTCAGCGCCAGAGTGATTAGTGTGAACATAGCTTTGGGGCCTGGATGAGTTGAAGAGCTAGTTGAGCCGCCACTGTTAAAGGTTCAGTTTCTAATAAAAGTGGGCGTAGTATCAGCGAGGGTGCGAAGTATAAATTTTGGCTTTATCAACTGAGTTGATAAAGTCAGTTTGCCTCCTCAACTCTTTAAAGTCCAAGGCTGACGAACATCTGTTTTCTCCGAACAAAGGTATACAAGATCAAGAGAAAAATAAATAAATAAATATAAATAAATAAATAAATAAATAAATAACGATTTGCAGGTAGCACATCCACACGGTGGTTCTTCGTCTACCTGACTCCTGGTCGAATTGGAATTTGGAAATGTCGGTTTTTTAGGAGAGGGGAAAACCGGAGTACCCGAAGAAAAACCTCTCGGAGCAAGGGAGAGAACCAACAACAAACTCAACCCACATATGTCGTCGACGCCGGGATTTAAACCCGGGCCACATTGGTGGGAGGCGAGTGCTCTCATCACTGCGCCACCCTTGCTTATGAGAATCGATAAAGGGTAGACCGCGAGCGGTTGTTCGTTCTTCTTTCTTTAGAGCCACACGCGGCGAGAAAAAAAGTAAAATTTTGCAAACTAATGGTAAAAAGGAGAAGAGATTGAGGCGGAGGGAGGAAAAGGATTTCCTGTATCAGGCCTGTACCCTCGTTCCTCACTCGCCCCTAGGGTGTACTCGAAGTTATAATAGGAGACGAGAGAGGACAAAGGGAACAGAGAAGGAATCCCCCATACACACCCTATTCCATAGGTATTTCGTCTCGAGTTATTTTTAAGACCACAGATCCCAAGGGGGATTAGACAACAGCCGATCACATAGCGCGAATGTGTTCCGCGTGGATGACCCACGCTCAGAGCCACGCGTCCTTCACGAATTGACGCAGAACAAAATGGCGGAGAGCGATATTGCTACAGAAAGATTTCTGCTAAAGCTGTGTCAGCGAAACGGAAATTAAAAAAGAATCGCCCTTCCTCTCTTGTATAGAGCTAACAGTACGGCAGGGAAATCCTTAACACACTGAATATTCTCTCAGGATCATTTATAATTTACAGTTTGAAGAGAGCAATTTCTGGTTTGATATTTATTCTTTTATTAGTCTTTTATTATTCAACAAAAATAACACTTGGCGTCCTACTTGCGTTATTGTACCAACGACCGGTTTCAATAGACCAGCGAAATTTCTCATTTTATTAAAGCACTGAGGTTACGACAACTTCGATTTAAACTAATTTCACGGATTGTGAGAGTCCAGCTACTCCCTTTTCCAGGTGAGCGCCGGCTCATTTCGCTTCAATATTCAGGAATGCTCTCAGTGCTTTTCGCCCGACATGTTTTGCACGGCGTTTAGTCATGCCAAACCTCCAGGAAACATCCACGCAGCGCGCGAGGTAACTTTATCCCGATTCTAAAAATAACTCGAGACGAATTACCTATGGAATAGGGTGTGTACGGGGGATGCCTTCTCTGTCCCCTTTATCCTCTCTTGTAGGAGACTATTTGTTCGCAGTTTGGTCATAGGAAAAAATGCTTTGATCTATTTAATTAAACTCTTAACTACATGAAGTTAAATTGATGAGATTAGTCTCGAAAATTTGTATGCGGATATCGCTGCTTAGGGGTTTAACAGATTAATGATCAAAAGCTGACGTTTTGGACGCTGTCTCTTTTTTCAGAGAGATTAAAAAATACGGTGGGTGGTATTGTTGTATTGAGAACTGCATGGACAAGTGCCGGTTTGGGTAATTTTTTACTATCATGTGCTGAGCCTAATAATAAACTCTCTTTGAGAGAACCTGGGACGTAAAACTGCCTTGCGCAAACTAGCTCAAACTATTAGAGAATAGCAGTGAAATTCTTAAACGTCTTCATCTGAAAAGGCTACCTGTTTCCATCCATGTTCCGCAAAAGTGTTGTTGAGAATGTTTCTGCACGAGTACTCAGCTAATTATAACCACAGTACATAGGACTTTTAAAATGATATTAGCCACGACGCAAAGTTACAAAAGTGTAAATCGGGCCCATTTTGCATGTTCGGTTATAAGCATTTAGGTCGGATATGGTTAATTGGGAACTTGTAGTGATGCCGCAAAATGATTACTAAATAATGGCATTGTAATTATTTTAGTGCCAGAGGAAGAGGAAGAAATTTCAGTGGCTTCAAATACGACAGGTGAGAAACTTGTTACGGCACCTTCCACCATTCCCGAGGGTTACTCCCTATGATAGCCTATACGTGGAGGCTCCGCCCGAAAGGGGTATCTTTTTCAGGCCTCAGGTATATGAAAGGATAAGGAAATCTGTCATTTGGGTGTGTTTAAGAGCTAACAGATGACTTTTATGTCTTTATAAAGTCGAGAAAACGTTCTATTTTTGTGATTGATTCATATAACAGCGGTTAAAAGGGATGCAAAGTTCTAAACAAGGTACTTGAAGGGGTATCATTTGTCAATAGAAGGTATACGAAAGGGGTACCTTTTTCATGAAAAATGGTAAATAAATAGCTGAATAGCTGCAAACACATCTTTTTAAATTAGCTTTTTATTAGTTCTTTTATTAACTCATATTTTACTTTTATTGTTTTCCGAAAATTGTACATTATTATAGTTATTATCATTATTTGGATTAGCCATTTATTACTTTAAGATTTTAGTGTTGTAATGCGCATTCGATCATATCTTTATCGCATGCTAGACTGCGCAATATAAGAAATAAATATTATCATTATTAATAGCTGAACTATCCGGGGCGGAGCCTTCCCGTGTAAACATTTGTTGAGTAATCCCCCCGCCCCGGTCATCATTTCCCTAGAGGTTTGTGAAAAGAGTTGATAACCAATGGGTTAAGAAACCATTATACAGTGACTGCTGAGCAGTTTGCAATGGCGGAACTAGAAAAAGGGCCGGATAAACAAACTCCCTTACTTGTACACCAAATCCAAGGGCCGTAACGATAACCTTGCGAGATCAGCTTAGTTTCGTTTGAAAAGTCCCCATCTCTCGATCTTAAACTGACTGAAGGTCTTTATCTGCCAGTGATATGAAGACGTTTTGCCTATTATCAGCCTGGTCTGTGTGTGTCTTCCCTCAGGAGAGGATAAAGGTCCATCAAGTCGATGACCTTTAAAGTTCACATATCAAAACTTTATACATTGTGTCAAGTCTTGCTTAGTTGCATGTTTCTCTTCTCTGTATAACAGCTTAAACAATTCAACCTTCACTGCTAGCTATAGACACTGTTTATTCCAAGTGGGAACTCAAGGAGTCGACACTAGTTGACAAGTGAGCCTCCCTCTGCCACTTCTTCAATTCTCCTACTACGATGTATTATTTGTTCTCTTACCCTAGACGAATTTATCGTCAATAGAGATCTGTTAATAATAATTAATCGAAAAACCAGTTTCGTCCTTCCTTTCACGAAACCTGTAGCATGCTACTCTACCTTAAAAAAAAAGACAATAGTTTTTTTTTATTATTTTTCATTTCAGAGCCTGTCAAGTTATGGGGTATTATTGACTACAAATACCTTAAGGTATTCAGCGGGGATTTTACTGGCGAATGGTACGTTGTACCAAGTGTCTTGGGTCCCATTGTCATTTTACTTCTGGTGTTTATTGTTTGCCTGATTAGAAGGGCAGCAACTAAAAAGCGGTAAGTTGACATACTTTCTGAAAGCAGCAGGTAATGCCGTGTTCTTTCCACGCATGTTCGGAAATGTAGGAAAACTCGGAACTCAGTTACTTCATACAATACACACAAATTATTATTTGTAATTTCCATATGACTTCATGTAGACAGAATTGTTTACGTTTAAGTGAGGATTGGGACTAGGGGACACTTCATGATGTTTATCATAAGGAGGATGAATCCCATTCGGCCCCGAATCCTAATCATACGTGTATCTGATGTCTTCAGGTTGTCTCTTTCCGTCCAACACCACGTGATGACCAGACTTGTCATTCCAACTTTTTAAACTCTGAACGAAATCCTATGGTGTTAAGAATGTTTGAAAATCACTTTTCAGTTCTTTGGATTTTACAAGAAGGAATTTGAATTTTTTTGCGACTTTTTTCTTGCCAGCTATTAGGAGTTAAAGGGTTAAGGAGAGTGACGTCATTTGAGTAATGATAAAGATAATGCTACCCCTACAGGAGCCCTCAAAAGAAACTGTTTTCGTTGGATGACGAAAAAAACAAACGAGTGTTTATCTCTGCTAAGAAGCAAACGTTTTTTCCTTCACATTTAGCGCAAAAATTCGTATTATTTTTTTAAACAACATGATCGCTTTATGATGTGGCTGCTGGTGGTTTTGCACTGTTCAAAGGTCATTGTTTTCCTTACGCACTGTTCTATATTATAACTCGAGTGTAGTTTTAAAAAAAAACCTTTGTGAAAGTGCCCCTGAACAAGAGAGTTTACTTACTGTCCTGTACTTTGGTTACAGTCCCAAGAAAGAAAAAAGCGAAGTCAAGAAGGAGCCCAAAGTCACAACTCATGTGGTGATTGAAAAGCCTGTATACACAGTACAAAAACAGGTTATAGAGCCGGTGTACTATCCAACCACTGATCCAGTTTTCGATATTGCACCTGTTACGTCAAGTCATCCCCAGTCTTCCAGCCTGGGTGCATACGGTGATATGTCCATGTATGGTAATGGAATGTCTACTTATGGTACCATGCTTGGTGCACCTGTGCCACCACCAACGCAAGAATTAAACAGAACTTACAGCGCCTCGAGCGATCTTGAATTTTTAAGTGATGATGGCGATGACTAGATTCACAACTTGTACGTACGACTAATAGTCATCGTTAAACATTTGTCATTCTTGAAATATTCTGGTGTATTGTTCAGTTTGGAAAGAAATAAACAGACAGGCAAAGTTTGGGGTTGAATTTTACCTCCACTTTCTTTCCTAGTCGGGTCCTCATAGTTGTTAAAAGTCTGTCTGCTTAGTATTAGTTTATAAAATTTGATTCCAGAGATATGAGATATTATTCGAATTTTCATTTTTAAAACCCTTTTTAGTAGTACTTTCATGGCGATGTATGTCCTCTCATCCTTGAAAAGTCGTTATGACATCTTTAGCAAAAACTTTCATGCGACCTTTTATGAACTGCTCCATCATTCACTTTGCATCCGTAGCCCTGTTCTTAAGTCTATGACAATGTACATGAAATCTTCATGTGCAATAATCTCAAATCGATTTAAAAGGAGACTCCTCCACACATGTTCAATTTGTTAACTGAATCCCATAAATGGTGTTTAAATACATGACATCCAAAAAATTGGAAAACAGATAAGTAGAATTATTTTTTTATTTTCAAGCCGATTTTACATCTACGCACCTAACTGTTGTGTGCTGTCTTGCCGCTTATCAGTGGTTACGTCTATATAAAGTTAGGTTACTGAATCACGCCACTACACTCCGAGTTTGATAATGGATGCAGCCTAGGGCAGCTTCTTACAGACTAGACCACAAGGGTGCGCTGGATTCCAACAGGAGAGGTCATTCCAGTACCCATTAACTGGGGCGGTTGGATGTTTAATCCACATGTTGCTGCATGGTTCACTGGCTTTTCCATTCGGTTCGCCTAGCCACCATTTCGTGTAATTCGGAACCGAATCGTCAGACCAGATAAAGTGGCTTGTGACCCACTTAAGTCCGATCCAAACCTGTTTCAACGATGGCTCGTGTTGGTGGACCAGCTTTAATACAAATTCGTTTTCTTCGTTGCTGTTTATCTTTACCAGCTCTCCTCCCAGTCTTTTGCAGTACGCTTGGGCCTTGTGCCAAGTCTTAATGGCGCTACTCACAAGGTAACAATAACCACTTTTGAAATGCGTCCAGCCACTAGGACACGGGCCTTTTAGAGATGAAAAAAATGAAAAAGACGATACTTTTTTGTAAAAATCAAAAAACCTTACAGGGGATGGACTTGAATTCAGATTAATTTTGCATGAATTTACTTACCAAATTTAAGCAATCTTTCAATATTTCGCAGGGTTTTCAGTAATGCGGGGCCATTAGCATCTCTCTTGGCATTATTGTCCGTATTAACTGTAAGAAAGAAAGCCCAGTCATTTTTTAAAAAATATTATAAAAAGAGATCTGAGGGGAAAATATTAACAGTTTTCGCACTAGGCTAGCGTTGTGCTGAACTAAACAAAAGATTCCCTGGCAAGATAGCTGCTTTTTGTCTTAGAATTGAAATACGAAATGAGATTGGTAGTTTTTATTCAGAATAAATTTCCCAGTCAAAATCACCCTTTTAGTGGAACATATTTTTAAAGACCTTGTGTCAGCGTAGTTTTTCCCGTCGATTTATATTTTAGTCTAATTGTCCCTTACCTCCCGGAGCAGACAAATTAGCACGAAAACGTAGTGCGTATATAAACTGGGACTCTCAAGTAAAGCTACAAGCCAAGGTATTTCATTGAATGAAGCTGAGTATCCTCATTTGAGCTTAATTTAAGCGTAAAAGTGATTCCAATCTTATAGAAGAACAATTTTACAATAACCCAGTTTAAAAAAGTTTTATCCTGACTCGTTCCTTTCTAGAACTGATTTGATCTGAGGTCTAGTGTGGTTACTGGGTCTCTCTCACAGTCCGCTCAAACGAAAACACTCCACCTGGCAAATATATTCTATACCTTCTTGTTGTTAGTCGATACCGTTTGACGCATGAGAGTATTTTTTCCGCCGGCATTTTTCTGATGGTTGATTCACTCTCATTTAAGAGAATAGCCAATCGTAGACGGAAGTTTAATTTTGTAGTTAGTTTTATGACAGTACTTTGAAAGAGTCCATTTCTAATCAGAACAGAAGTTTCAAGGACCCGAGGTTCAGGTCTTTCAAAAAACGCACACGTGGTGAACTTTCACAGAAGCAGCCAGCCGCGCAACATTCGAACTGTTTAACTTTACCTGTGACCCAGAAAACCGCGAAGAGGAGCGGCAAAATAAAACGCAATTTCATCTCAGTCAGCAGCTGTCTCACTACTGTGTGATGATCTCTAGAATCGCGTCTTGCTGCACGATAGTTTCTCTCCGGCCGTCCTCAAAATGACTCATAGAATATTTTTTTGAATCTATATTTTTACATCTCAGCTCCAAAACAAGCAAAAACAAGATCCACTGATCAACGCAAGCATGCGTGTAAAAGATAAGTAAACATAAACTTGGAAATGTATTAACTTATCAACTGCCCTGTTTCAACTTTTACTTTCAATGCTGGTGGGTAAATTCCTCTAACATTAAAAAAAAATACAAAAAGATAGCTAACTTTAAGTTTTAGAGTGACAAATTTGTTGTCGATGACGATTGCTCAATAAAATTCAATTTATTCCCAAAAGGTGTGCATATTTAAATTACTCTTAAATTTATAAGGTATTACTCTATTTTACGTGGTAATAAACTTTTTCACCATAATACACCTGTTCGTTAAAAATGGTGGGTGGCAAGATCTAACGTTGTGCTCAAGATGTACTGATTGAAATATTTCCACTTGAATCTAGCTTTTTAAACACTAGAGATAAAACTTATTTTTTTCCATACAATAGAGTGCATTGTTAGGTCTTATTACTAATTAGGGAACTTCAAGATTCAACCACTACAAAAACTTAACAAAAACAATAGGCTTACTAAGCAAAACAACAACTTTGCACGTGCAGCACATGCACTTTTTGTGAATTTCTTTGCTATTTTTGTACGACTACAACGTGAAAATGCCTCATTTCGCGTTTTATGGAGAACGTAAACAAGCCACGACGAAATTTTATTACTCTTTCTGGACTTGGATATCGTCCCTTAATCGACGTTAGGAGGGTTCGCCTACATTTTACGAAGTGAGTGGGTAGGAATAATCGCGATTAAGACTGAAAGATTTTTTAAGCAATGTTCTCGTTGTCGTAGCGTTGTTGGCTAGTTACATGCAGTTAATTCTTGAATTAAATTCAGCACATGCGAAATTTGACATTTGAACTGGGCCTAAAATGAAAATCAGTGAAAGGACTTCAGGGAAAACTCAGTAGGGCCATTTATACGAGGAAAAATAAGACGCGTCTTAAATAAGACGCGAACTTTCCGTATAAACGGCACATTTCGTCTAAAATAAGACGCGGCTTAGCTAAGACGCGTCTTATTAGATAAGACATGCTCGTATAAATGGTACAGTTCGCGTCTTATTTAAGACGCGTCTTATGTAAGACGCGTCTTATTTTTCCTCGCATAAATGGCCCTAGTAAGCACCATAAGACTGCTCATTAAAGAGTATGGTATTCTTCAAACTGGGCTACTAGGTGTTCACTTGATTATCAGACAGGCCATCAAGCATAAACACAAGGATACACTGTATGTGAGAACAGAATTTGAAAACAAATTAGAACTGTACACGGAAATTTCTACACCTTATTGTTATAATCCAAAGGTGAGGGATAACATGAGTCCATGTTCAAAATCATCAAAATTTGGGTTCCAGAAAATATCCATACCCACTCTATGGAGCGTTATGCAAAATTCCAAAGGGAAGGGGGTCTCAGGCCAACTACTTTACGAGCTGTGCTACGAAGGGACGCTACATAGCATCTGGCGCGCTGGCAAGGTATAAGCCAAGGAAACAACAAGCATAAACTGGGATTTCCAGAGGGTTAGGGGTTAAAATTAAACCAAAATAGAAACTCAAGGTCTCTGGGAGGAATATGGATATTTTCTAGCACAACACCATCACACAAAACCCATATTATCTCCTTTAACATTCCAAAAGGTATCAGTGTTTGCAAATGTGAAATCCTATCTTAAATTAAGATAAATTATATATACTCGTTCAGTAGAAAATGTAAAAAGGGCTGAGCGATTTTAAAAATCTCATTAATTATCATAATAATTTACATGTTAGTGATATTTGGCCGGGAAGTACACAAGCTGATTACACAAATGTCAGCGATGCAAACAACCTCATAAATGCTAAAAACCATTCCAAAAAGAAACCTTATTAAAATGATGTTAAAATGATGTTATTTTAAAAAATTAATCCAAAATTATTTTTACAATCATTATCACAACAAATACAGCACATACCCCAAATATTTGTCGTACAGCACTTGTTCCTGTAAAAATTTTACCAACATTTGAGAAATAAAAGCTGATCCATTGGCATGCCACTGCTGCAAGCAAACCAATGATAATAAATTGATCAACCTTCCAACGGCTGAGGTTGGCATTATCAAAATTTGAAACAATGCTTAAAGGCTTCATTTTGAACTCATCTAACAGGTGCATAGCTTCTGTGCGTTCGTCAACACCATAGGGCTCTAAAACGTTTATATCACTTATGAAATAGTGTTGCAAATATCCATCATAAATATGTTGCCTATACGTTGTTATGATGTGCAACAATAACCCTTCAAGTGTTTTGTTATTATGAATGGTATACATATCAAAAGGAAGCTTTTCACTTCGCTCTGCAATCCATAAAATAACTGTCTTTAAATGATATGACTTGAGAGCTGGGTAGTTTTTCTTTTTTACTTGGCTGAATTGCTTGACTGCAAATTTGATGACAGCATAGCACAATTTTAATGCTCTCTTGTCAGAATGATGTTCAAATACCTTTGACTCTGCTTCTGCAAATGTCAGCCTCCAGTCAAAGTCATGTGATAAATGATGCAATGAACAATGTTTGTGAACTAGATAACAGCCTACTCTCCTGACACTGTTAATAAGCTGATAAGGGAAAATTTTTTGTACTCTTTCAAACCAATCACAGGCTATTCCTTCACTGTCAAAAATCTTGACTCCAAAGACAACGTCACTGTCAAATCTGAACTTGCCTCGAGGGCCATCCAACATTGATTTGAATGTTATGGCAGGGTAGTTGTACTCGATGTCCCTTCCTGCAAATTCTTTTCCTATCTTTTCTGAAATCAATCTCCCAGAAAGTAAAGCTTGAGATCCAGATTTGACAATACAGTCCTGCAGAAATGTGTCACATGTCGATTCTTTCATTATGATTTTACAATATCCAGGAGATGTAGGAATGATATTATCTAAGCTTATGAGTAGTGGCTTGTAAAATACATTGATATCCACATCTTGAACAAGTGAAGTATTTGGCCAAGGAAATATCCCAAAATTTGTGCATGGTAAAGGAAAAAATCCAAAACCATGATCTGCTGCACTTCCAACAAGTTGATAATGCCATTTGACTGTATCATTTGGTAGCAGTGATTTGGTGTAGTCAGGCGGCAATCTACAGAAATTCAGGTATCTTGATGTCTTTCTAAGGTGCCAATTGACCAACCACTGTCCACCAAAGTAGCGACATACTGCAAATACTAATACTGGAGTGACAACTGTGACTGGGGTTGCAATAACAAGTACTAAATACAAGTTCACTCCTTCAAATATGGGAAAGTAATGGTCATATGCAATCACTGCAGTATAAGGAGGAATAAAAAAGATCAAGAAGTACTTTAGATAATCTAATATTGATGGTGTATGCGCTGCTGATCTATGTAGGCCAGCTACTATATCTGTAAATACTGTCAGGAGATGGGCTACTAGTTCTTCAATCATCTTCAAGGAACTCTAAGTCTACACATGCCCATCTACCTGAAAAAAAGAATGTCTGTATTTACCACTTTGATATCTACCTTAATCATAATTATAACAAAAGTCTCCAACGTGATTGGCTATTGGCAGCTCTGGTTTCAGTATTAATAGGACAGCGTAAGAGGACAGTAGCCCGACGGTACGTGTCATGCCTATTGAGTAAGTAATTGGACAGTATGCCCAACTATGAGCAATGCTTTCAGACAGTTTCTCATGAATGAGTTCTTTTTTCCCTCATTTCCTACAAAAAGCTGAGATCTTGGCGGTTTTAATTTAACAGTTTTTTTCTGTAATGATTTATTGGAAACAAAACTTCATGTGATCCAATTCTGTCTATACCAGTAAATCACAAGGCGAGAGTCCAATCTTGCTATGTGGTTGTCCATAATATGTTAATCAATATAATGGACTCCACTTAGCTTATGAATAAGAGTCAATCATTAAAAAATATGTAAGAGAAAATTTGACATTAACAAAACAACAAGCTTACTGGGAAAAACTTCGCCTTATCAACTGAAAAGTGATTAACTGTCAAACATCAATCACTGATGAGTCAGTCATTTATTGGCCCCATGTACTGAATACAGACGTGACAGCAAACCAGCTATGGCCTTCTACCGAGTTAATCGTCCCTGTTTTTAATAAAAATTTCGCCATTAATTAGTTGCAAATTTTCCCTCCCCATAACAGTTAGTGGTAAACTTCGCGTTTTTCTGAAAATTTGCATTTGTCTGATTACCGGTTTTTTATGCATGACTGTAGTGTATGTGCGTATGGCCTTGGTCTTCACTGCACCTAAACACGACTTACCCAACTGCAAAAGAGGCATGAGAGATGGCATGCATGGCCTAAAGCGAAATTATTATAATAACTGAAAAAGGGGAATGCAATTGTTTTCTCTCACCTGAACGACGCTCGAGAAATTTTCGGTATATTCCGTACATTATAGTTCCCCATACATGAGGTACCTACCTACTCATGAG